CAGTCTAGAATCACACTGTCGATCTGGCACCCGACGATCAACTCAGACATGATCCTTCCGTCAACTTCAACGACCACCAGGCTCAAGGCTACGGGCGTATCTAGCCAGCATCTCCTTGCGATTGACGATACTAAGCAACTGGGCGCCACAGCCTCGACGACAATCGTTGCCCGAGTCAGTAGGTCTTCGCTTGGAATCGACTTTAAAGTCAGGTAACGGTGCTACTGAAACGAAAGCCCATGATGCTTCACCACATGGTTCGTCGCCCTGTGCGAAGTCAAAAACTGATGGCACCTGACCCTAGCTGCTTGCCCTGTGCTTCCTGGGGCTCAACCGCGATGTGACGAACTCATGTTGCTTTGAGCACACAACCTGAGACGATGTTTAACGTAACAAACGCATGGTATCCTGTCATCCTACCTATCTATCAACCCCGCGCTACCCCATTCTATGTCTGCAGACGCTCCAACCGCGAAGTGACAGCCTCGACTAAAGCCGTCTCACGCGACAGTAGACCCATGACCTGCTGAAGCTTGGCCTTACGGATCTCTGACGGGATCTTGAGCTCCGACGCCTTTGATGGCGACTCCTGGACATCAGTGCCGTCGGCTGGCTTCTGTACCCGCTCCACCTCGGCCACCAGTTCATCTCGTAACCGCTGCACGTCCTCGAAACGTTTCTTGAGCAATCTTTGTTGCTTGGCTCTCGGACTGTCCTCTGATGATCCCAGCACGCTGGCCTCCATGCTCTTGACTTCTTCCACAAACGCTCTTTCCTTGGCGCTGAGCTCTCGAGTTGCGGCCTTGCCGACGTATTTTCGGACACTCTCGAGCCTCTCATTCAACCGCTTTTGGCGATCCTGCGCGTCTGTGATGCGCCGCTCGAATCTGGCTTCGTCGCTTTCACCCTCCCCATCCTTGTCGTTGCCCGCAATCTTATCAATCTTCTCCTTGACCTCGTTGGCCTTCTGAATCTGATCACGAAGTTCATCTTGCAGAGTGCTGCAGCGGCGGAAGATCTCCGCCACGGCAGTACCAAGGCGGTAGGTATCCTCGCCCAGGATGCGATGAGCGTCTGTGAGAATTTGCAGAGTCACTGGAGACAAACGAATCTCTTGGTTTACGATTGTCTTGTGACGTGAGCTGCGAAGCCTATTGATGAGCTCTGGGAGGTCGGATTGCTGCTCAAAAGCATGAGACGGCTGGAAGGCTGGACGAGGCTCGTAGAAATCTAAAGGTTCCATCGTGACAGGCTTCTCTTCGTACGGCGTCTCATGGCGTATAGGGGTAAAATCGTCTTCGGGTGTCTCAAAAGTCAGAGCGACCGGTTCGTACGGGGTGGCCGACAAGAGGAAGTACCCGAGATCAGGGTCGCGTATGGCGGCGCTCGCGGCGAGGGGCACAGTGACATCGTTCGAGGACTGAGTGTAGAGTCGGTCCCGAATAGAGTTCTGTCCGTTGACGAGAAGGCCGAGACGGAAGTCTGAGCCTGCCTCCGACTCGCCTGAAAGCTCACCCTCAAGACGAAAGATCCAAGGAGACAGAGAGAGGAAGGTAATGCCGGCATGCGAAGTGACAAACATTGAGTACCGAGACATGACATCCGACGAGAATGTCGGCCAGGAGTCCTCCACCTTCATCTCGGTTGGTGCCATGGTGTCGACGCATTGAAAAGTCAGCAGACTGGGCAAATCGGCCGCCGACAGGAGACGTCCGAGTCTCGACTTGTTGCGTGGTGGCAGCCATTGAGCCTCGATCCCTTCCAGGTCTAGGTAGACTCGGACCTGGCCAGTCTTGGATAGCAAGCAGACGACGGACAGCGAAAGACCCTCCTGGTCCCCATCGTCAAAATCCAAGTCCTCGTCTTCGCCCATCATGAGGTCCTCCGTGTCAACCTTTTTACCGATGACCATGATATCGGTCAACGAGCTGTCGTAAAAGTCTTCGCTATCGGGATCGGCGATAAAGTCGAAGGGGCCTTGCAGCCGCGGTACAACACCGGGCCGGGAGGGGCGTGTATAGACTTCCACCGGCTGCTCGCCCGGTGCTGTGTCGATGACTTGCGGTTCCTGAGAGTCCAAGTCACCCATCCACTCGAGCTGTTGCTGGGCAAGGAGCTTGTCGATCTCCGAGACTGCTGGATCGTCTTCCAAAGCGGCCACCTTGGAGACAATGGACACAGACAGTGACGGAATCAGAGTTGGGGGCGGCGCCCACTTCTGGGGTAGGAGAGGGCAGAGAGCGTAGACATCACCCTCCCTCATGGCTACCCAAAGGGTCATGGGACTCCATCCTCCGGATCCACGGCCAGCAAAACAGGCCGATGCGACCTGCATCTCCAGAGAGTATTGCGAGAAGCTGGCATTCGTGGCCGCAGTGGACGCCGTGAAATCTTGATCAAGTGTTGTGCCATCGACGAGCTTCTTGAGGTCGATAGACAGAGTAGGAGAGTCAAAGGACCAGCGGTCGGTCATGGACAGCTCCCAAACACGGACAATGGCATCGGTGGTGACTGTGACCAAGCAGGATCCCTTGACGCCAAGCGGGTGCCAGATCGCCGAGGCGACCGACGCGCGCGAGGTGACGTGGGTAGTAGGCCCAAGTGTCCATATCTTCGGTCGCAGGGGACTAGTATCTTCGGCGGTGAGGTGGGATGAGTCGGGAACCACGCAAATGTGAACGGTGTGTGTCGTCACGATGGCGAGGTAGTCGGAGTTCGGGGAGATGACGAGCTGCCGGATGTCATCGGCGACGGGCGTCTTGATGGTCTGTCACGAGATGTTAGAGATTGATTCCAACGTCTTGGTATCCATAACCTACGCGGAAACCCTGCGCGGTGGCGGCCTCCTCGGTCGAGGGGATCGCATCCTCGAATGTTTGCGTCGACTCCTCTCGCTTGACACGGCTGCCCATGCGACGATGGCCATACTTTGTTGACCACTTCTCCTTCAGGTACGCTAAATCGCCCCATCGCAGCTCCTTGCCTACTGCGACAAAAACCTCGGTGCCTCTTCGAGCAATTGTCCGCCTCGGTCCGACAGTCTTCTTCTTTTTGTGATACGGCGACGGCGCGCTCAGCGCCTTGGAGTCGGTTGACGGCGCGAACAAGCTGTGGCCGGGGCCATGGGACAGCCACGGAGCCGTGTAGCTCTTAACTTTGGGCATTGCGTGGCTGTTACCCTTTTGGCGTGTCGGAAATATGTGTCTGCAGCTGCGCGCGATTTCGTGGGCCTTTCAGGGTCGCTGTCGAATACTGAGGTCGTCGGCCGACTTTTTCCAGACGTCTTTGATGGCTGATTGTTGAAATGTTCCTGGACAAAAATCCAGAGAGAGTCGCGGTTGCTGCAGCGAGACCCACTTTGAGCTCCGGGCTGACCCAGCACCTCTGTTCCGTGGCTGAGCCAATCACAGTTGCGCAAGCTTAAACTTACAACACGGTAATTCAGAACATCAGCCTGATGCTGCCTAACTAGAACGACGGACGATGTCTGAAGAGCAGAGAATTCCTGTAAGTTCCTTGAAGGAATTGGTTCTGAAAGAAGCCTTTTACGATGAGAAGTGAAAATGAACCAGAGGCCCCGGAAGACTATAATATTCTTACTAAAAGTTCTAAATCTCTGATCGAAGTGAAATGGTAACAGTAATAGACAGTTCGAGGATGTGCGAAAAGAAATTAAGTAATGACATAGCTATCCTCAACTTACTTCACCTGTGGTTAAAATCGGGAAGTAGGCCTTCGTTGTCACCCATGAGGTTGCATGCACGGACCACCAGATCCAGAGCACTCGAGGACTCTCGCGCAACTGGAGCCTGCCTCAGGTACCTCACCTCGTCAAGTACCTTGATCTCAGAGCCAATCTCAACCAGCAAAACTGTCGGCCAATCCTTCACATTGATCCGACCTGCGCAACACCAACCCAATTGCTATCTCCCACAACCCCACAAGCTGCAAAGATGCGGTACGGCGTAAGAAACACAGTAGAGCGTCTCGATAGGCCGAGCGCATACTACCACAGCAGGGTACGCCTTCTCACTCTTCCCTCGCACCATCTCCTATGCTAATACCAGCGCTCTCTCTCCAGAACAAGCGCAGAAGGAACGACCACCGCGACGACGAGGACTCTAGGCCAGCCGAACCCGCCGAGGACCCCCTTGCCCACGCCACGACGCTCTACGTCGGCAACCTCTCCTTCTACACGACCGAGGAGCAAGTGTACGAGCTCTTCTCCAAGTGCGGCGAGATCAAGCGTCTCGTCATGGGCCTCGACCGCTTCAACAAGACCCCCTGCGGCTTCTGCTTCGTCGAGTACTACACCCACCAGGACGCCCTCGACTGCATGAAGTACATTGGCGGCACCAAGCTCGACGAGCGCGTCATCCGCACCGACCTCGACCCCGGCTTCGAGGAGGGCCGCCAGTACGGCCGCGGCAAGAGCGGCGGGCAGGTGCGCGACGAGTACCGCGAGGATTACGACGAGGGCAGAGGCGGACTTGGAAGGGCCATCCAGGACCGCGGTGGAGAATATGACGAGGGACGGTAAGACGTGGTGCTGACACGGCAAACTGTGGCGCGCATATCTCTGAGAGAGAGAGAAGGCAGAGAGGGAGGAAGAGAAGATTAGAGATAAGAAAAGCATTGGGTTTTTTTGACATACCATATAGGCGGGTAAATATGCTTTCACGGGAACAGGATTCGGGATTCGATACCCTCAATTTGACATCATTCGGGACATGATTGGAGTTTGTGCTCGTTCTGAGCACGTGTGATTCTACATGGCTTTTGCAGCATACGCGGTTGTTCTTGAACCCACATACATGCATAATGTACAACAAGCAGCGAGAGCTCACGTCTTCGCTGTTCCCCGCGACAGAGCGTTGGCAGCAGCCAAGTGTGTAAAGGACCATACAAGCGCTCGCCTTCTCTGTCGACGACCCTCTGGTTTCCTCCCTTGACGTCCTCTCCATCCAAACAAAACATTCGGCATTCGTTTTCGTCGTCGTTTAGTATCCGGGAGGGTTCAATCTCTGAGAGACTCTCGTCCACTTGGGCAGCTCTGCAGACATCAAAAGTTAGCCATGCCACTTCCTCTGGAGACACCCCATTGCGGAACAACGAAGCAGGCTGGTTGGGAAGCAACATACTGTGAATGCCCTTGCGGTACCTCTTCTCCTTGCGGTCGAACATGGTGTACTTGTCCCTCGGCAGCATCTCCGCCTCGGTGGGCATCTCCGCCTTCCACCGCTCCACGGCGGCAACAGTCTCACCCTGCTTCGCCAGCGCCGCGTCCACCGTGGAGACGACGTCGTCGACGGCGCGCAGACGCAGCCTGTGCCTCCTCTTCTGGAACTTGGACAGCCTCCAGGGGATCTTCCAGAGCAGACCGCCCGACAGCGGCGAGGTGATGCGGAACGCCCCGAACATGATGTGTGTATATGTGTGTCTCCTGCCTACCACGGCGGTGACGGAGGTCTTCTGTCGGTGCTTAGCTAGCGTTCTCCGGATATTTCACAGGTAGGCCTTTCAATCGTACACGGTTCGCCGTGAATGAGTCGTCGTCGAGGGAGGGGGCGGGAGTCGAACAGCTCGAGAGCGTCAATTGTGCAAGCCAGACATTCGATTCTAGGAAATTTCGGAGCTCGCACCAAAAAGAGTGGGGCCAAATTGGCTGCCGCAGCGCAAGGTTCCCATTCGCGCGCGGAATTTCCCACTGGTCGTCGCAGCGCACCTGGGGGGAGGGGCCCCACCGCCCGTCCGCCCCGCGGGCCTACCTTAGCTGGCAGCTCTGGCCGGATGCTTCAGTGAGTTCGGTGAAGGAGCGCGAAAGGCCAGCGAGAAAGAGTATCCCGAATCGCTCGAGACCATCCTCACTCCACGACGAAAAACCCCCGAATACGATCAGGCCGTCTGCTTTGCGCCGCGGGTCTACAATCGAAATCCGCTCAGCGAGAGCACTGCAAAACTCACTGATGTCGCGGTGAACAATGTCGTACTACTTCGCCATCGTCGGCACGCAAGACAACCCGCTCTTCGAATATGAGTTCGGCACCTCCAAACAGGGCGGCGACGGCCAGTCGCGCTTCAACGAGCAGATTCGCCATCTGAACCAGTTCATCCTGCACAGCAGTCTGGACATCGTGGAGGAGGTCCAGTGGGCACAGGGTCAATTGTATGTCCAGGGAGGGATGGAGGCTTTTGGTGGTGATCATGCTCCTGGCACATGCTGACGATGGAATTTCTGCCTAGATACCTCAAGGTTGTCGACAAGTTCTTCAACAACTACGTCTCCTGTTTCGTGACGGCAGGCAACGTCAAGTTCCTCCTACTCCACCAGCCATCTGCACCTTCCAGCACCGCATCTTCACGATCATCAACAGCCATCGGCGCCAACCCGACGAGTCCTGCAACGGAGGAGGCGATCAAGAACTTTTTTCAGGAGGTGTATGAGAATTGGGTTAAAGCGATAATGAGCCCATTTTACAGGCTGAACATGGAGGTGAAGAGCCCAGTGTTTAGAGCAAGAGTCGCAGCGGCAGGAAGGAAATACTTGTAATACCTATCTAGACCAATATGGACAGAAGCATGATGCCAACGGGGATAGAGGCGAGAACACTCGGCGCAATGAGTGATCTGGGGTCCTGCAGCCTGCAGCCAGACTGAGGCACACGCGGTGGAGAACACAGGCGGCCCAGTTAAGGATATTCAGATATATAAACAATGAGACGCGTCACGATTCATACACAGTAGAATAGGTTTGGTATGTTCAAGTCACCATTTCGGTGTTGTTTCATTCAGACAAACGCGTCTGCCTATCGACGCCTCGAGTAGTATCATTCCCAGAGTCTCGTGATCCCCAACGCCTTAAATCAACGTGATGTATCCATATCCCATTACCGATGAGAAAGACCAATGAACCATCCGCGCCAAGCCTTGCCAAACGGCTTTCCCGGCTGCTTGATACCAAGAAGCTGCAAAACAAAGCTGGACCGTGTCGTGATGACACGCTTAACCACCGAAACCGTACAGGGTGCGGCCCTGGCGCTTGAGAGCGTAGACAACGTCCAGGGAGGTGACGGTCTTGCGCTTGGCGTGCTCAGTGTAGGTGACGGCGTCACGGATGACACCCTCGAGGAAGGACTTGAGGACACCACGGGTCTCCTCGTAGATCACTGGAGGGGTTGTTAGGCCTTGCTGTAGGTGCAGTGGAGAGAAAGAGGAACCTACTAGCAGAAATACGCTTGACACCGCCACGACGAGCAAGACGGCGGATAGCGGGCTTGGTGATACCCTGGATGTTGTCACGCAAAATCTTGCGGTGACGCTTGGCGCCGCCCTTTCCGAGGCCCTTGCCGCCCTTGCCGCCTGGAAGGATAGTCAGCACATTGTCCGAGATGCAATATAGTTGTGGTGATGACGCCGCTTGGTATCGACGCGACCTGGGATGCGTGGCGACGCGTCCAGGTGCGGTGGTGCATGCCGATGGGCCTCCGTAGGCACCCAACCGCGGGGTATACCACGGCACCTGGCGGCACCGAGCACCACGACGGTAACGATGGAAAAAGGAAGCAAAAGTTTACTTACGTCCAGTCATGTTGAAGTTGTTTGAGGTGGATAGTTAAGTAGATGTAGTTGTGTCTCGAAGACGAGATGTTGATGACGTTGTTTAGTGATGGATACGTTGGGGTGTGTGAGAAGAGGAGTGGAATTGGAGAGAAAGAGGGGGAGAGGAATAAATAAGGCGGTGCTGCAAGTCTGGGGGACGGGTTACTGATTGTGTGGTGCGCTGAGGTGCGGTGCGTGCGGTGGCAGCACAGGCAGGTCCGGATCAGTAGGCTAGTCCCAATTTGGACTTTGGAAAAATAGCGAAACGGTAAGGTCCCTATTTTTTGCCGCGTATTTTGCAAGTCACTTGCGGCCTGTTGCAAAGCGTTGTTTTAGCAGGCGCGTTGGGTCTTGTGTTGTCAATTGCAATGGGGGGCACCCGACTTGCCCCGTGCACCGCCTTTTTTTCTGACCAGCTGGAGCAGGCAGGGGTGCTCGCAGTCGCAGCTGGGCTAGTTGCCCAATGCAGGGTGTGGGCGATTTTTTGAGTGGACCGAGCTCTTTGCAACCGGTCTCTTGTCACGCGTCAGGTGTCCTCCCGCTGCCTGCCGTCCGCTTAGTTCTTTCCGCTGCCGCTGGACTGATTTTTCATTGGCTGCATTCTTATCTCTCCACTGAGTTCATGCAAGGGGTCTCAGTCTCCCCCACCATCGGCCATTGATCAACAATTGCGATCTGAGGTGGGCGCGTTCTGGAAAACACAGGTGATGAGGCGCCCTCTGAATGATTCAATGTCGAGTACTGCCGAGGCCCGCTTTCCAGCACCCGCTCGCACAACAGGCCGTCACGTCAGCCTCCGTGATTGATAGCAAACGTAGCAAGAATGCCAACACAGCGTCGTGAGGTGTCGCGAATAGTGATGCATTACTTTTCCCGTCACGACCTATCTACCGAGGAACCTGGTCAACGCGAGGCCGTTACTATACAAGAGGACACAGTATGTCCTTCCTAAGCCAGTATGCTCTCCCTGCTTTGCTTTCCCAAACGCCGGTGCCATGCAGCATGCCGATAAACATGAATCCGTGTCATCGTGCTGTTATACCATGCCTAAACCCAAGCTTGGCGGACTTGCCTCGTTCCGTCGTTCCCAGACTCTTCTCCTATACTTGCACGACCCCTAAAAATGCAGAAATCGCTATTCTCTGCCTCGCAGGGCAAACCCTGACTTGAAGCCAAGAAACTCATATGCCATATACTCATGTCATCATCGAGTCCTCCATGCTCATGTCCTCCTCGAGGCTTTCGATCGCTTCCTTGATCGATACGCTGGCCTATCGATGTGGTTAGCCAAGAACTTCATCCCTACACGCGGATAGCATACCTTCGGATCCAGAGCGAGCGCGTTGCTGAAGCAGCGTACAGCCATCTGCTTCTCCCCGGCATTCCTGTACAGCCTGCCAAGAAGGAAGTGCACCATCGCCTCATCTGGTGCCATGTCCTTCACGATCAACAGTTCCTTCTCCGCAGCATCTATCTGCCTGAGAAGCATGAGTGCGCGGGCTTTCCGATACCGGACCATCGCAGCCTTGGGCGCTAGCTCCACAGCCTTGCTGAAGAACTGGAGTGCCGGAAGAATCTGCTTCTGTCTCTCCAAAATCCCTCCTATGCGACAGATGAGAACAGCATTGGTCGGGTTGATGATCGAAGCGGTGTGGAAGTGTGAGTATGCCTTGTCGTAGCTGCCCAGCTTCTCGTACACACCACCAATGCCAAAGTAAGCGTTGTAGTGACGTTTGTCGGCAGCGATGGCGCGGCGGAAGGCCGCCATCGCCTTTTCATACTCTTCATTGGCGACGTGCTCGTGGCCTTGCAGAGTGAAGGCGTACGCAAAACCTGGATCTAGTTGCGTAGCCCGCTTAAAACACTTGAGTGCTTGTTCGTGGTCTCGGGAGAGAGAGGAGGCATTGCCCAACGCACACCAGGCCTGAGGCGAGTCCCAGTCAGCATCGACGAGCTCGTGGGCCAGGAAAGAGAGGTCTGTCTCGCGCTTCAAGTGCCAAAGAATGGTTGAGTAGATTTCCATATCTTCCATTCGCGTTGGAGCCACAACACGCAGCTTTCTGAAGAACTTCTCGGCCTCCTTGTACGAGCCTTGCTCGTGGTGCGCCTTACCCATCTGGACCAGAACCCAGGGTGTATCCTGTTGGCTGCGGGGCAAAGTGCTGTAGGAATGCAGAGCCTCCTGGCATCTGAACTGCTTAAGTGCAAAGTAGCCAGAGGCGAACTTCTTGAGCAAGTCCATAATCCATCTCAAAGCCTCTTCAATCTTGACGTTGTCGGGCTCCCCAAGAGCAGCTCTTGGCGCAGCATGCTGGGTCGCGTGAGGCTCCCGTACTCGAGTGGTCTCGGCGTGGTCGACGTCCATGCCGTTATCTTCAATGGGCTTCCGGTTGCCACTTACGACCCTACCGACACTGGAGCCACTAGAGCCAGGCCGCATGATTCGAGAGATTTGGGGTCTAGCCTTCTTCAACTCGCGAGTCCCGCCGCTGATGGTAGCAGCGCCCGAGTTCGCCTTGGTGACTGAAGGCTTGTGAAACATGTTCATATTTAACCTTGCGCTCCTCCTTTGCGTGGGAGCGCTGACTTCTTCGGAATGCTGTCGTGACTGAACAGGGTGCCCCGAGACTGTCCTCTTTCGTTCCGAGGGTGCTGCTGTCCGCAAGATTCCGGGACCGGTGCCGGTGTCAGAGTGCAACTCGACGGCTTGGTCCTTATCTTGACTCCTAGTGCTTCTCTTGGCACCTAGTCTGTAACTCATCTTCGGAGGTGCTTCCAGGAAGCCTGGCTCCACGGCCTGCGCCGTCCGTGTCCTCCGTGGTGGCGCTTGAGGTGGTTCAGCAGCGAAGTTACGCAGTGTCGGAACCTCGGGCATCGATACGGGACCGGTGGGTGTCTCCATAAGATCGGACTCGCCATTCGCCGTGGCTGGCGGTGCCAGTCTCGCCTTTGCCGCCGTGATTTTCGACATGAAGTCGTTCTCTTCCGCCTCGGCAGCAAAAACGTTGGCACTAAAGGGCATGTCTTGGTACGTCGAGGATCGGTGAAGGTTGAAAGGATCTGATGAGTCCATCATAGTCCGGGCCGAGTGCTTCTTGGGTTCGAACGAGTTTGATGTGCCCTCCTTGGGCTCCTGAAGAACCACACTGGGGTCTTGGTCGAAGCTATGGGTGAGTGAATCGGTGACCTGGAAGATGTTGGGCACCCTGACGTTGACGCCCATGTCGCAAAGAGCCTGGAAAGCGTCCCACATGAAGGGGTTGACCCTGACGGCATTCTCAAAACACTCGATCGCCCTTCGGCGGTCGTCGTATGCTCGGTACAGCTTCCCTAACAGACACAAAACCGCAGCTTCGTCCGGATATAGTGATCGGGTTGTTGTGGTATGTTTGCCCAGGTTCGTCTTGCCAATCCACTTCTCTCGCGCTTTTTCCAGCGCGTTGATGCCGTCCTTGTATCGTTCGAGTTTGAGGCAAGCCTGCGCAAAAATCCAGGCGGCGCCCAGGTTGGAGCCTCGAGAGGCAGACGGCCTGCTGACCTCGAAGGCAGTCCTCGCATCGCCAAGGCGAAGATGGCAAAGCGCCAACAGGTAAGCCGATTCACTCGACTTAGGGTCCTGGGCATTCAGGCGTTCGGCGAAGAATAGGGCGTTATCGTAGGTATGATGGTCGACATGATAGTATATGACCTGACGCAGCAGGCCGGTGATGGCTGCGCTGGTGGGCGCCATTCTCACGGCGTGGTGAAGAGATGCAGGCGGCTCGGTGGAGGGGGTTACCGTCGACAAGAGATTGTGGCCATGGGATCGCGCGCAAGTAGTAAAAAGTCGTCGGGTAGGATGGCTGGAAAGTCGATCTGGGTGGGCAGCGTCCCGGGAGGGCGGGCGGCTAGGGTTGGCAAGCGTGGTTGAGCTCTGGCGAGCTTGGATGACGGTTTCTGTGCAAGCGCAAAAAGTTGCGTCCGTGAATTTCGAGGTTGGGGGTCGCGCGGAGCCTGAGGGCTAGAGGAGCAATAAGGGGACTGCGGTCGAATCGTTTCGGCTTATTGAAGGCATTAACAATTAAGAGCCGTAATGAATGGCCGCTGGAGATGAATTGGCGCCGTAAATGCTGAAAACAAGCGACGTTGGTAGCGATGGGTATTGTGGTGTTTCTCTGTTGCTGGTACTGTTGTTACTGGGCCTGTCGAGGCGGAAAGGCCGTTGTGGTGGGTCCCGTGAATTTGTTTGGGTTTCCCTTCTGGGGGGCGTTGCAAGTCGACGTAACAATGAACGGAGAATTCTGTCCAAACTTTTGCGTTGTTCACTCCTCGCAGCAACCAAAGAAGAGACGGCAGGCCATTTGGCTGACTGGGTCGCGTCTTGCAGCAAAAACGTGGCTACGAAGCGCACTGAACGGAACGAGAGGAGGAAGGAAGGAAAAGGTGTTGACGGAGGAAGAGGGGTGGAAGCTGGGAGACCAAAGACCAGAAACTACCCAAGGCAAGCTAGAGTCACTACACCATAAGGTACCCAAGATGGAGGGGGCAGGCAGGTAGGTGGTGAGCGGAGACAGCGGCAGACGTCCAGCCGTGGGATGGCGGGAGAAGGGAAGACGAGAGCAGAGAGACAAGGGCAAGTCCCGTCGTCGTGAAGGTGTCACCTCAGGTGAGGTCAGTTCAGTCAGGTCAGGGACCTTGTCTAAGATGGACAATGTCAGGTTGCTATTCCTGTTCCCCCCGTGCCGTGTTGACCTGACGGCAGCGTTTCCCTCTCCTTTCAGTCCCCGTCGCGCGTGGTGTTGTGGTGCGACGGCCCTGATTGGCTCACGCGATACCGCAGCGATCGCCGTCACCTCGCCCAGCAACAGGAACAAGCGCCCACTCAGCGGCCTTTCTGCCTGCCAACCCCCTGTCGTCACTCGCCAGCCCCCCATTGAGTGCCTACCTGAGGTACGGACACCCGACCGACGTCTTGCGCCAGAGACATCCACCCGCCATCTCTTCCCTTCCAGGCGGTGCACCGTCTTCTCAGCAGTTGGAGATCCACTTGATGCCGTCCGTAGTGCACTGTCATTGGATCCCGCGCCTGAGCCACACTTCACTTGTGGAATTTCGTCACTCGCATCCTTCAGCCTCAACACCGTTTGCCCGCAACCTGTCTTCATCCTTAGGAACGTGTCGGTTCTCATTCACACTCGTGCCACCTTGCACCGGGGCATCGACCAACTCAATTGACCTCAACTGCGTTTCTTGTGCCCTTTGACGGCATTACCCATTCCTCGCCTTTCCGAAAAATCGACCCGCAGCAACCTCGACACAACCAACCGTCGACATGGCGCAAAAGGCAAAGAAGGATAGGGCCAAGTCCAACGCCGCCGCTCTGAACAACCTGCACATCGGCTCTGCCATTGTCAATGTCAGCTTTCTTCTGTTCCACTTCTTGATCAAGTCGAGGTCTCTTTTCTGGTTCATTATCCTCTCTGCCCCAGCCTTGATCTGCGAGTTCGTCCTGGAGAACGCGGGACGCCCCAAGTATGATGCGGGAGGAGGCCTCAAGGCTTCGGGCGAGGACCTGGCAGCCGCCGGCTTGACTGAGTACATGTTTGACGTCGTCTGGGTCACCTGGGCATCTGTTGTTCTCGTCATCCTGTTCGGCAACTGGGGCTGGCTGCTGTGGCTCGCCGTCCCGGCATACGGCGCCTACGCTGGAGTTGGTCTGCTCGGAGCTGGCAAGAGAATGGCCCAAGGTATGCAGGGTGCTGGCAACAACGAAGCTCCTGTGCCCGCCAACCGCAAACAGCGCCGTGCGGCATAACTTGAATGCAAGTCTCTTCCAGCAGCTCGACGGCTGATATGGTGTCTATTCATCTTTACCGGGTCTATTCGCTCAGTTCTGTCTATGCCACGGCTGCTCTTCGGCCCACTTCTTGATGACCTCTGCGTCTACATTTCTCACCAAAACATGGATGTGCTCAAGAGCCCGCACACTCTGCAAAGCAACCCAGTTCTTGAACCAGACAACTCTGTCTGCTCCACCATCGCCTAAGCTTTCAACAAAGTACTTTTCGACAAAACTCTGGGTGATGCGCCTGCTCTCTGGCGTCATGTCCCCCGTCTCCGCATCAGTAGGGATGATGGTGCGCGACCAGACCACGATATGGGTGATCTCGGGGTCAAGTCCGTACGGCCAGTCGTTGACAAGGACTCGGTAGTCGGACGGATCCTCAAAGGGAACGAGCGACTTGGGGGTGAAAGGCGGCTCGCCCCAGGTCTTTGGCAGGCGGTTCACGAGGAGGTACTTGGTCATGGAACCATACTCGGCCTTGGTCTCGGCCGTCCACTTCATGTATCGACGCAGGTCTGAGGGCTTCCGCTTCAGAACCTCCAGCTTGTTCGTCTCTGTAGACCATTAGACTCTCAAGATACAAAAGCAAAGCGCAAAAAATATGACGCACTAATAATCTCCTTGAGCTCCTCCCAGTCATGCTTCTTGAACTCCTCGTCCGTCTGTGAGAGGACCCACTTATCGACATCCGTCAGCGGGAAAGGGGCTTCTTCAACCGGAACGTCGCCCATGTTGACTGTCGCGGCTCTGAGGGTGCGGTGATTTGGGGAAAAGACCAGACGGCGGGGTTGAGAAGTGCGTCTCACATACAGCCACGGTGATGACTTGACGGAGATGGCAACACGAGGTCGACTAATTGGCGGTAACGGCATCCACCTCACACGGGCGGCGGCCTGCGGAAGATCAGCGGTCCGATTTCCCCAATCGGCCGCTGAGGTAACTGCTGTTACGTTACACAGGTGCTAGAGAACCATCAACGTGGTGAAGTGAGAGACAAGAACTTCGTCTCAAGTGCGCTATTCTCTGCAAAAAATGTTTACTGCCGTGTACTTAACCTGTGAAGCAGACTGTTTCTATTAGGCCTTATTTTACAACTTTTTCTCTCATCTAACAGGCTTCTCAGTGATCCAATTTGCACGTATTTTATCCGGAAGCCAGCGCCAGGCACCTCTCAATGGCGCCGTCTTTTGGAAGGGCAGCTGAGATGCAACTAAAGCAGACATGCGTGTGAGGGGAAACCAGCAATGACTCCCGCCCTCTATGGGATTTCAAGCCGCCTGAGAGATCAGCTCAATATTTGACATAACCAGGTCTCCTTTTGTTTAGAAGAAAAAAATGCATTGAATTTTAAAACCAGGACATGCTGTGACGGGACCATTGATTCGGCCGGCACCTAGGTGTCATTTTCCACCATCTTGACCGTCGAGTTACAACGATCCTCCAGCATCCTCACAACCAAGTTTTGTCGGCCAGCCACGCGTCAAGAATCAAGCCCAAAACCGAAATATGCGCAAGGCTATTCCGGCCAGCAATGACCGAGTCCATCCCGCATAACATGAATGACCCGGCTGTCGACTTTTCGGCCAACGTGGCTGCTCCCGCACACCCGTACTACCCCGTCGACGCCCCAATCCTGCACTACACCGTGAACCAAACCTCCATCCCCGTCCTCCTCATCGCCTTCGGCGCCGTTCTTGCTCTGGCCGTTGGAGCGGCTGTCCTGGGCGCCAGGAAAGCCCATCCTTCTCTGTCGAAGGCAGATCTCTTCACCGTCGCTTGGTTTGCACTTTGTGCGTAGTGGCTCTCGGCTGCGGCGCTTACAACAGCTAACACGATGCAGGCGGCTTTCTTCACTGCTTCTTCGAGGGTAGGTAACCACCCAATTTTCCATTGTATCGTATCCAGTGATCTCACCCCACAGCAGGCTACTTCATTCTGTACCATGAGAACCTGGCAAGCCTGCAAACTTTCTTCGGCCAGCTCTGGAAGGAATACGCCCTGTCCGACTCACGCTACCTGACATCCGACTCTTTCATGCTCTGCGTTGAAGGATTCACCGTGGTAAGAATCCCCATTTCAACCTCTGAGCGGGCATTCAATAACAGGAACTAGGCAATATGGGGTCCACTGTGCTGGTCCATCGTGATTGCCATCGCGAAGAGGAGCACCCTGCGCTACCCGCTGACCATCATCATGTGCGTCGGCCACCTGTACGGCGTCGTGCTCTACTACTCCACCAGCTTGACCGAGTATTTTCTCCACGGCGTATCTCACAGTCGACCCGAGTTCCTTTACTTCTGGGTCTACTACATCGGGTTCAACGGCCCCTGGGTCGTGGTGCCAGCGCGTATGCCATCCCTCTCATTTTCGGATACTGATTAGTTCGAGCTAACTTGTCAATAGTCCTTCTGTTCAGCAATGTTATGCATATCAAACGCCAACTGGAGAAGGTGGGGGGCAGTGATAGCGCCTTTGAAGCAGCTCGAAGTGTGACTCGCGACGTGAAGAAGAACGAGTGAGAGATGGTGGTGCATACGGCGAAGGTGTCCTTCGACTTGACCTTGACGGATACCTTGAATCGGGTCCAGCGCCGGGAAATGGGGGTTTTCTGGAAGGCTTTGGGGCTCATGTCGCGCTGGGTCAAGAATCTGGAGGACCAACAGGCTGAGATCGACAGGCATGACAGCGAAGTTGACTCTGGACCGTTTCTGTTCGCATCAAGGCGTTGGCTATTCTCTGCACAGAATACGAGTGCGTGTGTCACTTGCTATGTGGTGAATTTGCCTTCCAGTTACTATTCAAACTTACTGAGAGGTCTGCGAGCGAATGGACATGAAAAACTTGCTCCGAAAGTAATTCGATGCTGCGAAACCCAATCCGCCTCGCCAAAATTCCAAGTCGGCGACACAGAACGAGCGCGGCAACTCCAACATCCTAGAGCCATTATAGGAATGAGACCAGAGGAGAACAGATAACTCTGAGAATGCTCACTGCCAGACGTACGAGAGTCTGAGATGCCTCCCGTTTGTGATACAACATGCCGCGCATCGTTGTTGGAGTCAGGACTGGCAGAGCCCGTTCGGAAACATACGAAACATACTAAATGCTCAGTTTCCGAGTATCCTATATCTGTTGAGCGTCATTCACTAGCGGCAACCTGCCCATAGATCATAGCCTCACTTGCACGCACGGCACTCGGAACAGGTACTAGAAACTATTCATATGGATATCATTCATCTTATTCGGTATCCTATCTCCTCAAGAGGCAAGCTATACCTCTAAAACGCTGCCTCCCCATCGAGTCATGTGTGCCTGAGAGATCATTCCTCGGCTCTTCATTATCAGCAAGTCGTCTATACAACCACAACGCCGCCCAGATGCCTAGATGCATGCCAATGCCCCAATGCACGAGTTGTTGACCAAGTCCCATCATCACCCATCTAGTAGATGCCCTGCGTTCTGTACTGGAAGGTGTCGTAGCTGGCGGACGTTAGCAATTGGGCGTGTGTCAAGAGTAGAGGAAACCTACAGCCGCGTGTAATAACTGCCGAGAGACTTGCCGATCAAGTCAGTCTCGACAAACTGCTCCGCCTCGTCCGCACTGAGCTGCAGTTGGAACCGTTGGCGAAGGTTGTGCGTAGCTTGGGCTACGCCAGCAGAGTAGCAGGGCATCTTCGAGTCACGTCCCATCATGGCCACCAGATCAATGATGTTATCCGCAGACCGCCGCAAGGCTGAAGAGGTTAGCTTTGTTCAAACACTCCTGGTGGGACGTAACTTACCTTGGAAAGCCTGTTTGCACAGCTTCTTGTAGTCTTCGTAGTCATCAGATCCGATGCCTCCCAGCACCTCAATGTACTCCTGTGTCAGCTTGAAAGGTGCCGCTTCAAAGCCAACGGATCCCGGAGAGTTGGACAACATGAAGCCGAAGTCGATGTGAACGATGTGGCCCTCGCTGTCGATCAGGACATTACCGTTATGTCTGTCCTTCAGCTGCAAGATGTATGATATCATACTGTACGCGGCCAGCGAGCGCTTAAAGGCGTCTACTCCAGCCTTGTACGGTTCGCTATCTGCGGCACCAAACGCTTTGAGAAAGTGATCTCTGAGAGTGGCGAATCGACGTTTTTGGCCCGGGCCCGCCTCCATTGACAGAGTCAGACTTCTCTTGATAGAGTGTAATGAGACGCCGTTGGTAATCGTCTCAATCAAGCCCGACGATTCTCCCGTGACAAGAATGCGCATGAGCTTGACCCAGACATTAACCTTCGCATCGACCCAAATCTTGTGGCAAACGTCGATTAACTGGCACGCGAACGCTTCCTGACGCAGATCGGCCCCCGTCTTAACGATGACGCTAACCAAATCCCAGTTCTTCATCCAGCCATAAGGTGAGGTCTTGCGGACACGCTCCTTCTTGGCCTCCCAGGCTTCACCAAAGACTGCTGCGCTCGGATCGTCACGGTCGCCCTTGGTCTGGATACCACCGGTCTTGATATCGTTTTCCATTCTCGCCAGTCCCGCACCGGCATTGGCCCCTGGCTCAATAGGTGATTCGCTCTCCACCTCAGGCTCGGCATTTACTTGTGCAACGGCAGCAGCCTGCGCCGCCTGCGCAGTAGAGGCCTTGGCCATGATCGTGTCAAATGTTGGACCCTGCTCATCCATATCGAAGCTCTGCTCCTCCAGACTCTGCATGCTCGCAATGATTTTTGCCCTGATAGCTTGCACCTCATGTCTTGGCCGCTTGCCGCTCGTAGCCTCAAGCTGGGCCAACATTTGTGAGGCTGTGCGCATATGCGTCGCGAGCGCAGAAAAGTCGGGCTGTTCGGCTGCTGGAGCACCACGGCCTGATAGCGTCATCTTGCGGAGAGGGCCTGGGGGACTGCTAGATCTCGAGGTAGAGGCGCCTGAGCTGCGTGGAGTGGTCATGTTGTCGGAAATTGTACTTGACATCGTGGTAGTGCCGC